AAGCAAGATTCTACTGAAGATTATCCAAAAACGACTGGAACAGTACAACAGCAGAGAACTGCCAGAAGTCCAGGCTGGGTTTAGAAGGGGTTGTGGTACTAGGGATATTGTAGCTGATGTTAGATGGATCTAATTTACAGGAGGTCCATGTGGCCCAAACCTTGTCCAGTTTACTCCTTGCCTAGTTCTTAGAAGAAAATTTCTAAATTATGAAATATCCCGCCTATTTAGAGTGCTTAGTTCACTTGAGGCCTGGGGCCACTAATAAAGTGGTTTAAGGTAAGCCTTAGGCCATGCACTGTCAGCTTAATCTCTTTAGGAACTGGGAAAATAAAATTGATGATGTTGATGATGTAAATCGTGCCTATGTAATCAACTTCTCTTCCATGCCTAAAAAGCAAATCCTTGACATAAAAGCTCAGATAACATTTTGTGCTTGTGACACATAGTTTCTGGGAGATAAGCACTGTTTATATGACTCCACAGAGAAAGGACAACCACAACAAGCTAGCTAGGTCTTTTCTGGGCTCTGCCTTACATACTTCTGTTGCTAAAAGGTAATATGTATCCTTTTACCTTATTTGTGAAAAGAACAGCTTACTGAGATCTAGGAGTCCTTTGAGCAAATTCATGAACATGACTGTGATTTGGGAATTCTCTAGATACATATGGTTATTTATTTTAAATATTTATATAAGAAAATATTTCAATACGTTCTAATAAAATCTGAAAAAAGCATGTGTCAATAGCAAAGAATTGGAAACAACCTAAGTGTCCATCAACAAATGAATGGATAGTAAAGATGTGGTATATTCACACAATGGAATACTACACTGCATTGAAAAACTAGGAACTTATGCAATATTATTCAAAATGGGTGACCCTGGAGGACATTATGCTGAGTGAAATATCTTAGTCACAAAAGGACAAATACTGCATAGTGCCACTGTTGTAAAATGGGACAGGGTTGGGGTGAGACTGAGAAAGACTAGATAAATTATGTATACTGCATTGAAACAGATAAGGTAGAGAACTGTTTAAAAGTGATATATGATTGGGTATTATTATGGTCATGACAAGAGTCCAGAATGAAGGCTGCGTAGTGGAGTGTACTGGGGGAGGGGAGAATTGCATATCAATGAAATAATTTTTCTTTTACTTTTCAAAGAAAAGAGAGAACTGGTGGGGGAGGGGTGGGCAGGGAGAAAAAAGCAACAATGAATGAATGGAAATCCAAAGTCTCTGTAAACATTAAAATTCATAATAATAAAGAAAAGTGTGTGTGTGTGTGTGTGTGTGTGTGTGTGTGTGTGTCTGTGTGTGTGTGTTTAAGTCTATCAATATCTCCTCAATACTGTCCCAAGTAATACTCTGTTCAACCTTGAAATAAAACAAAAAACTCAGAGGTAAAATAAAATCAGAGCAAAGCTCTGTTATGACTCCATTAAGACATTAAGATCAGGGTTTATAGCAATCTTTAAGACTATACTGAAAATATCTTCTAATTTTTCATATTAGTAGAATGAGGGCTCTGGGGTACAGTGGGTAACAATTTGCACTGCCAACACAAAGGCAAGCAGTTCAAATCCACTAGTTGCTCTTGAAGGGAGAAAGATGAGCAAACTCCTCCCATGCAATTTACAGTCTGAATATTTGATTCAAGGTCAGTTATGGGTCAGTCTCAATTCAATGGCATTGAGTTGAATTGTTCCAAATATTAGATATCCAAGTAGGTATTTTACTATTTTAACTCAACAGGTTTTCCTATTTTATGATAAACTATTCTTTTGATATACTATTGATACTCATAGGCTTTGACAAAATATTTTTCTCCATAAAATTGCAAACTCCACCTAGCTTTTACTCAAATAACAATAAATTCTCAATTAAGAGGATTTCTAATAAGCTATGGATAACTAAAATATTCACTCAGGATCCACACCCCCCCCCGCCCCAAATCCCACCTTTCACTTCTACTATTCTATTTCTTTCCAAATAAATTCTTAGAATAACAAACTGAAAGACTTTTAAAGCTAAATCAACTTAAAAGTATTTTGGAGACAACCTGTTCATTCTTCAATCAATTGAGACTTACTGAATGGTGTATGTTCTGAGCCCAGGGGTTATTATGACATGTTCATGAAAAGATGACAGATACAACGCTAGCTCTTCAGAGGCAGGTACATGAGAAGATTTGCAAAGTATCTAGCAGTTTCCTATAACTGAACACCTGAAAAATTTCTTACTCAATGATAAAGTATATACAGATTTATTTTATATTATTCATAAAATGTTGCTTATAATAAGATCTAATAAAAAAGATCTCAGAACACAGGGTGAGTTCAGAATGACAGCCACCTAATTAGCAATCTTTTAAGAATTTTTAAGTGTGCAATAATTTTATTACCAAGAATCTAAGAAAATTATATAAGTTATACATAAAAAGGTAAGAGTTCTAGTCTTTAGTGCCCATTAGAGAAATGATGCATAACTATGACCCAAGAACAAACAAGATCTAAGAAGCATAGAGTAAAAAATGGGGAGGGGGGGAAGATATAAATTCAGTCAAATAAAAAGTCATAACCCACTTCATGCCCCAAGCTCAGGTTATTACCTCTTTAATTTTTTCTCTTTTCTTCCTTATTTCATTATCTTCTGGGTCGCCACCATTTATTCCTACAAGGTTGGGTATAGGGACTGGTGGCAGTGGCTTGTTCTCCTTTGTCTTCAGTTCTTGGGCTACCTTATTTTTTTCTGTCTGAATTTCTGCTCGAATTTCTTCTCTTGACTTCTTTAATTTTTCTTTTGCTTCTTCCAGAGCTTTCTCATGATCAGCTCGAATTTTATTTCTCAGACGTTCTTCTTCTTCCCTACAGACGATGAGATAAAAATGACTAGTAAGAATTTCGATCTTTAAACACAAAACTTAAAACTTCTTCCACAATTAAAAAAACCCTTAATGATAACTTTTCATTCCTACTGTTAAAAAGTGGATCTGGTGGCATACTGGGTGAGGAGGAATTGAGCTTCCAACCCAAAGGCAGGTAGTTCAAATATGCCCATGACTATGTACAATAAGCCATTAAAAGATTTGTTGTTGCTATTGAGTACCAGTCAGAACAATAAGCCATTAAAAGATAAGAATGTTCAATGAGAGAAATGCAGATATGCCAAAAAATAGGATAAATATAACTTGTTATGGATAAATACTGAGGGGGGGGGAACACGTAAATTTTTCATTTCAAGACTGAGTAAGAATAGAGGAAACACGTAACTTATCAATAATAACATTTATTAAGAACAAGACTAAAAAACACATTATAATCGATTTATAACCAACTCACAGCTGACCCTCCAATGGGTTTTCAGAGGCTATAAATTAAATAGGAGGAGAATGCTCATTTTTCTCTCATTGAACAACTGGTAGATGGAGAAGTAAAAATAAATAAAATTATCAGAGAAGCAAACAAAAAAATTACACAAGAAATAAAGCCAAACTCACCATCACCAAATAAACAGAATCACTCATTGTGATTCTACAGGTCATTGTAGAACTGTCTCATGGGGTGTCCACAGCTGCAAATATTTACAGAAGGAGATGGCTACCTCCTCCTTCTCTCATGGATCAGCAATGGGTTCAAGCTGTCAACCTTTCCATTAGCAACTAAATACTTAACTATTAAAACACTTCTTGTTAGGAGCCACTGAGTTAAGTACAATTTATAGTAGCCAAAGAAACAAAAGATCTAAATCTTGTCCTATCCTATGTCATCCTCATCATCTCTGACACACTCAAACCCACTGCCACAGTCCCTGCATCTATCCATCTCATAGAGAGTCTGTCTGTCCTTTGCTGATCCTCCATATCTCCAAGCATGATGTCTGTCTCCAACAAATAGCCTCTACTAGCAACATGCCCAAAGTATGTGAGATGAAGCTACTAGAGTCCCTTAAGATTCAGAGGGAATAAATAAAAAGTCAAAAGAGTTAAAGAAAAAATATAAAAGAGGAGGAAAATTTTCATATATAGCATAGTATATCATATGCTTTAATGTTGGAAATATCATACATCTTATAGTACAACATTCCCAAATGATGTAGTCATAACTGAAATCATAGTTAAAAATACATATTCCTACTTAGTTGGTTTAAACAAAAACTAGGGAGGTATGACGACAGTCCAAAGGTTCATGGTTCAAATCTACCAACAGCTCCATGAGAGAAAGAGCTGTAATCTCTTCCCATGTGATTAATTAACTACTTCTGAAAACTGTCTAAAGGGTCAGCTGTAAAGTCAGTTCCAATTCCACAGTACACAACAATATATAAACCATAAATCTATATTATTAAATTTTCCCAGATGACTTTGGGGGTGGGAGGGGGGGCTTTGGGGGTGAGGGGGCTGGGGGGGGTGTAAAAAGAGAGAGAGAAAAAAAATTTGGAAACCACTATTATAGTTGTTATGTGCCATCGAGTTGCTTGTAACTCACAGCAACAAGAGCCCTGAAACTTGGTCTATCCTGTGACAACCTTATCATCTCTGAAACACTTACCCCCACTACCCCAGTCACTGAGTCAATCCATCTTGTCCATGGTCTTCCTCTCCTAAACTATCCTTCCTAACAACATGCCCAAAGTATGTAAGATGGAACTTCAAAATCCTTGGCTCCAAGGAACAACCTGATTTCACCCTATCCAGGACAGACCAGTTTGTTCTCACAGCAATCCACTGTATATACAATACTCTTAAACAGCATCACAACTCGAGGGCATTGACGATTCTTCTACTATCCTTAGTCATTGTCCAGCCCTATCATGCATTGCAAGTAACTACAAAGACTATGATCTAGATCAAGCAACACTGTGACAGACAGAGAAAACATGGAAGTTGTCAATACTTCATTTTGCTTGGATCTACAATCAACACTTGGGAATAATAGCCAAGAAATCAAAAACATGTTGCACTGGGGAAATCTGTAGCCTCTACAGCCACTTTAAACCCTCTCCAAAGTTCCAGATACAGGGATGTCAATTTAAAGACTAAGGTGCACCTGATCCAAGCCATGGTCTTCTCAATTACTTCCTATGTATCTGAAAATTGGACAACTGATAAGGATAAGCATAGAAGAATCATTAACTATGAGTTGTAAGGTGTTCTGGAGATGAATACTGAGTAATTCATGGCTTGTACAGAGAACAAAACAAGTATATCTTAGAGGAGGGGCAACCTGGCGTCCTTAAAAGGTAAAGATGTAAGACTTTGTCTCACATACAAAGGGCCGAGTCCTTACATTATGCCGAGAAAGGTAAACAGAGAAAAACTGAAAGACCCCAATAAGATGGATTGACACTGTAAGTATAACAATTTAAAGAACTTTAGAGGAAAAGGCCTGGAGATCTGCTGCTTCTGTAGAGAGTACATTTAAAATAAAAAAGAAAAGCAAAAAAAACATTGTAGCAGTTCCACTCTGTTACTGTTGTTGTTATGTGCCATCGAGTCACCTGTGACTCAAAGTGACCCTACGTACAACAGCCCTAAATCCTGCTCTATCCCGTGCCAATCTCACTGCCTCTGATACACCCATCCCGATTACCCAGTCACAGAATCAATCCACTTCATAGAGGGTCTTCCCTTCTGTTCCATCCCGCCACCCTCCCAAGCATGATGTCCCTCTCCAAGGACCGGTCCCTTCTTACAACATATCCAAAGTATGTCAGACGAAGCCTCAGAATCCTTGCCTCCAAGGAGCAGCCTGGTTTAACCCTCTCAGGGATGAATCTGTTTTTTCTTGGCAGTCCAGGGTACATTCAATACTCTTCTCCAGCACCACAGCTCAAAGCCATCAATTCTCCTTCTATCCTCCTTAGTCATTATCCAACTCTCTGATGCATAACAAGTGATTGCAAAGACCATGGCCTGTATCAGATGCACCTTAAAAAATATAACTTCAAGTAGGAAACTGGAAAAAGATATGGTAATAACATACCAGTTAGCAATTTGTTATTTGCTCTTATTTGGTGGGAGATAGAATATATAATGCAAAACAAGAAAGAGATTAACGCAAGAGCTCATGTAAGAAAATTTGCATTTTGTCCTGAGGAAGCTCCGTAGCCTTGTGATAAAGAGCTATGCCTTCAACCCAAAGGGAAAGAGGAGGAATCTACCAGCTGCTCCAAGGGAAAAAGATTGGCAGTCTCCTCTCCTGCAAGTTACTGCCTCTGAAAACACACTGGAGGGTCAACTAGAAGTTAGTTCCAACTGGACAACACATAACAATAACAAAAAAGCCCCTAGAGGCATGTTGTTATTGTTGTCAAGTCGCTTGTGACTCAAAGTGACCGTATGTACAAGAGCTCTAAATCCTGCTCTATCCTGAGCCAACCTATTGTCTGTCTCTAACACATTTATCCCCATTACCCCAGTCACTGTATCAATCTATCTCATCCAGGGTATTCCTCTCCTGCGCTGTCCCTCAACCCTCCCAAGGATGATGTCCCTCTCCAAGCACTGGTTCTTCCTTGCAACATGCGTGAATTATGTCAGACGAAGCTTCAGAATCCCTGCCTCCAAGGAGCAGCCTGGTTTCACCCTCTCCAGAGAAAACCTGTTTGTTCTCTTAGAAGTCCATAGTATGTTCAATACTCTTCTCCAGCACCATATCTCAAAGGCATTAATTTTCCTTTTATCATGCCTAGTCATTGTCCAGCTCGTTGATGCATAGCAAGTAATTGCAAAGACCACAGCCTGGATCTAGCACACTTTAGTCTCCAGAGTGATTATCATTGCTCTTCAGTACTCTGGAGAGGTCCCTGACAATGGACTTTCCCAATGAAGTTTGTATTTTGATTACCTGGCTGCTGGTACCAAGACTGTTGATTGTGGAGTCAAGCAAACTAAAGCTGTTTACAATCTCAGTATCTTCATCATCTATTAGGCTGCTACCAATAGGCCCAGTGGTGAGAATATTTGTTTTCCTGATATTGAGCTTCAATCCATATTGAAGGCTGTAGCCCATGACCTTTTGCTACAAGTGGCTCAGGTCCTCCTCAGTTTTAGCCAGCAGAGTTGTGCCATCTGCATAACTCAGGCTGTTGATGAGTCTTCCTCCAATCCTGATGCCACATTCCTCCTCATAAACCCTAACCTCTGGATGATCTGTTCCACATATAGATTGAAAAGTATGGAGACAGAACACATCCCTGGTGTATACCCTTCCTGATTTTAAACCATACAGTGTTTCCTTGCTATGTTTTGATGAAAACCTTCTGAGGCATAGTGGTTAAGAATTCAGCTACGAACGGAAAGGTCTACAGTTTAAATCCAACACCCAATCTGAAGGAGAAAGATGATAGCCTTGGAAGCAGTATAGGAAGTTCTACTTTTTCTTATCAAGTCCTCATGAGTCAAAATTATCTCAATGATAATGATTTGGTTTTGGTTTTTGTAAGGACTAAAACATAGACACTATACTCAAATGCAAATTAAACTTAATCAATAGAGAACTTTTCTGAGCCATAAAAAACTCTCCATAAATTTTAAAGAATTAAAAAGTATATTCATTGCTAGAAAAAGTCAAAGTATAAATTAATACTATGAAGCTATCTAGAATATCTCTAAATCCTTTGAAACTAACATACTTTTCAACAACTATGGGTCAAAAAGAAATCAGGAGTGAAATTAAAGAGCATGTTGAATTCAATGAGAATGGAAACATCAAAACTTGTAGAATGAACCTCAGGTAAGCCTAAAGGGAAATTCATACTATCAAATGCCTATGTTGTTATTATATGCCGTTGAGTCGCTTGCGACTCATAGTGACCCTATGTACAACAGCCCTAAACTCTGCTCTGTCCTGTGCCAATCGCACTG